TATTTTCTTCTTGTCGATTTTTATGAATTTTAAAACTTCACTAGCTTTTTAGTAGAAGTTAAGGCAAAATTCAACATAATAAATGAGTGGATTCTCAATGATTCATTTTTAATTAATATTAATCTTGCAGTTATATGAGATCAAATAAATATTATACACATACATCTATTCAGATCTTAAAGTTAGCTTATACTGCTAGGAACCCTGTAAAAGCACTACTTCTCTTGTTGCATCATATTGAGGTAGAGATTGAGCTTTTTCTTGGTCCAACTGGCATCTCCACTTGCTGATCAAAGATTTTAAAACAATAAACTTGTTCTGCGAAGTAGATGAGGAAGGTAGAATATATTAATAAGTAACACCTTCTATATGGTTCTATCTACTATATTTAAAACCTTGACTTGAGTTCGTGATAAGGGTGTACCTTAAGTAGATAATGAAAGGATAAGTTATTAGTTAGTAAGACCTTCTTGAGGGTTCTACCTACCATATTTAACACCTTGATTTTAGTTCCTGATAAGTAAGTACATGAAGTAGACTTACCTGGTGGAACAGTAATAATTTGAGACTAACAATACTGGATTACAGGGTTCGATTCCCTGCAGTGGATGTAGAAAATGGACAAAAGGATCCCTTTTTTGTCTTTTAATTTTATGTTAAATGATACATTACAAAGCTACACAATGGGCTGTGTGCTGTGTCAAATACAGGTATCAACACTCAATTTGTAGTATTGTAAACTCTCATACTTAACTGCTGAGGTATGAAGGCTACAGAAATGTAACACATGTCCCCAATGTGTATTCTTTGATGTTCTTTTAATTTAATGTTTCTTCTATAGCATTTTCCACAAACTGAACAACTGTATGGTTTTCAAAGAGGATGTATTCTTTGATGTTTATTTAAGTTATTACTTCCTACAAAATTATTTACATGTGATTTTAAGCAATTATCTGTACCAGTGTTTTCCAGACACTGCACAACTGTAAGGTTTCTTCCCAGTGTGTGTTCTTTCACGTTTCGTAATATTGAATTTCTTCCGAATTGTTTTTCACAAATCGCACAACTGTAAGGTTTCTCCCCAGTGTGTGTGTTCTTTCATGTTTTCTTAATATTGAATTTCTTCCGAATTGTTTTTCACAAATTGCACAACTGTAAGGTTTCTCCCCACTGTGTGATCTTAAATGACTTTTTAATTCACCATTTGATTTAAACTGTTTTCCACAAACTTCGCAACTGTATGGTTTCTCTCCAGTATGTATTCTTTGATGATTTTCTACATGACTTTTTGTACCAAAGTGTTTTCCACATAATTCACAACTGTAAGATTTCTCCCCAGTGTGAATTCTTTGATGTATTTTTAATTCTGAATTTCTTCGAAATTTTTTTTCACAAATTGTACAGTTGTAAGGTTTCTCCCCAGTGTGTGTTTTTTGATGGTTTTTCAAGGCAGAGTTTGATCCATATTGTTTTTTACAAATTGTACAACTGTAAAGTTTCTCCTCAGTGTGTGATATAAAATGATTTCTTAATACATTCTTAGATATAAAGTGTTTTTCACACACTGAACAACTATAAGGTTTCTCCCCAGTATGTATTCTTTGATGATTTTTTAAGATGGCACTTGCTGAAAAATGTTTACCACATACTGCACAATGGTAAGGTTTCTCACCAGTGTGCGTTTTTTGATGTTGTTTTAAATCACAGTTTCTTCTAAATCGTTTTTCACAAACTGTACAAATGTAACGTTTTTCACCAGTGTGGATTCCTTGATGTGATTTTAAGATACTCTTTGTACCAAAGTGTTTTCCACACACTAAACAACTGTATGGTTTCTCCCCTGTGTGTATTCTTTGATGTATATTTAAATTAGTCCTTGTTCCAAATTGTTTTTCACAAACTGTACAACTGTACGGTTTCTCCCCAGTACATATTCTTCGATGCCCTCTTAAATGGTTATTTGTTCTAAGTTGTTTTCCACATACTGAACAACTGTAAGGTTTCTCCCCAGTGTGTATTCTATGATGTTCTTTTAGTTCATTGTTTCTCCTAAATTGTTTTCCACAAACTGTACAACTGTATGGTTTCTCCCCAGTATGTATTTTTTGATGTCGTTTTAATTCACTGTTTGTTCTAAATTGTTTTTCACAAACTGTACAACTGTATGGTTTCTCCCCTGTATGTATTTTTTGATGTTGTTTTAATTCACTATTTGTTCTAAACTGTTTTCCACAAACTGTACAACTGTATGGTTTCTCCCCAGTATGTATTTTTTGATGTTGTTTTAATTCACTGTTTGTTCTAAATTGTTTTTCACAAACTGTACAACTGTATGGTTTCTCCCCAGTATGTATTTTTTGATGATATTTTAATTCATTATTTGTTCTAAATTGTTTTTCACAAACTATACAAGGGTAAGGTTTCTCCCCAGTGTGTATTCTTTGATGTGATTTTAAATTACTGCTTGATCCAAACTGTTTTCTACAAACTCCACAACTATAAGGTTTCTTCCCAGTGTGTATCCTTTGATGTGATTTTAAGTTACTGCTTGATCGAAACTGTTTTCCACAAACTCCACAACTGTAAGGTTTCTTCCCAATGTGTATTCTTTGATGTGATTTTAAGTTACTGCTTGATCGAAACTGTTTTCTACAAACTCCACAACTGTAAGGTTTCTCCCCAGGGTGATTTCTTTCATGTCCCTCTAAGGGACTATATCTCTCCAAATGTTTTCCATAAACTGCACAATGATATGGTTTCTCTCCAGATTGTATCCTCTGTTCTTGTATTAGGTTATCCACTGTTCCATATTCTTCTCCACTGACAACACAACTGTATGTTTTACCATTACACTGAGGTATATTAAATTTGTTTAGGTTATTTCCATTTAAAGTTGTTTCTCCACATATAACACAATTTGGTTTGGGGGAATTCATAACTTCTATAAAGTGATCTTCTTGTTTTATAACATGATTACCAAGACACTGACTCTGACAGCAGGTCTTCATACCTAAAATAGATACAAATGATACCACATCATAGTTAATAACAGATTTTCAGTGGATAAAGTTAGATCACCTGAAGAAATATGATAGTACGGTGTCACAACAATCAATGTACTTTTAGCTAGTACCTTTATAGATTAACTTTTAGAAATATTTTCTTACTTGAAGTGGTTAATTATCATCAAATCTTTTAATGTTTTGTCTACTTAAACATGTTAATTATTAATAATAATAATTTATACATTTTATTCAAAAGTTC